TCAATTTTTTCTACTGTTAAATCAATAAAAATATATTACTTTACATAAATATCACGCAGTATATCTTAATTTTATTTTATATCCTAACAGAAACAATACCAACACGGCTGATCAATATTCAGTCATGTTGTGGTACTTTATTGTTGCAACCTCCATTGCGAGTGCAAAAGGGTGCGGTGCAGTTGAGTACCGTAGCCGAGTTGCATGAGCGCCTGGTGCGCATCTGAGTGACCTTTCTCTATTTTCCTTCTACTTCATTTCTACGCTTTTACATTGCATTACGTGCTACAATAGTAATATACTTGCGCAGACGCATTACCATCCAAGCACACTCTTACACACTCACCCTCACACCCATCCACACCCACCCACCGCAGCCGAGCGCATTGTCCACGATCCCCGCCGCCACACGCCACCGAATGCCCAACCCGCGCACCGGCCTGCAGGTGTCCGCGCTGACCGCGACTGCTGTCCTGCTCGCGCTGCTTGTCGGGACCCCGCTGATCGCTGTGGGGCACCGTTGCATCTTCGACGAGATGCAACGCCTGCAGCTGGCGACCGGCACCAGTGCCGTCCCCGAGGTGAGGGACCGCGGGACGCCGCAGGGGCAGGGCGCGGAGCAGCACGGCAGCCCCACCGCCACTGACTCATGGAAGCCGATCCGCATCTCGGTGTTCACCGAGGACCTCGACGACAGCTCCCGCTACTGCACACAGCCCGGGGAGATGAAGCCTGATTTCAGAGGCTCCATGATCCAATGTAATTCCGATAACGTTCTCACTGATGAAAAGAAGCAAGTGCTACGTAATGTGATAATCCCCAACGCGGTGCAGATGCACAAGGACCGTCTGCTGGTGCAACCGCGCCGATATAACATCCGTGTTGAACGCCTATCGGGAATATTATGTTCTCAGTTTACGATTCCCCAGTCCCATCACCGTACTGGTGTGCCGGATACCGACTTTGTGTTTTATGCAGCGGCGGGACCAACAGCAAATGAAGCTATCGCGTGGGCACTTACGTGCCAATATGACCTAAAAGAGCACCCCTTGGTGGGTGTTTCTAATATTGGGTCTGTAGACATTATGAACGTTCTCCATTCTACACGTATTTTGGCACACGAATTACTGCACGCGTTAGGATTCAGCGTTAAATTGTTTAACATTAGAAACATGGTTGATACTGTGTCTGTTCGCGGTAAGCCACCAGGTTATGTTCTGTCTTCGCCAAGAGTGTTGGAAGTCGCGAGGGCTCATTACGGGTGCAGTACCATGCAGTACATGGAGTTGGAGGATGACGGTGGGTTGGGGGCTGTAAGCTCACACTGGAAGATGCGCAACGCAAAGGATGAGTTAATGGCTCCTGCTGATTCTGCATGTTTCTACACCGCCATCACCATTGCAGCGATGGAGGACACGGGCTACTACAAAGGCAACTACCGCAATGCTGAAAGTATGGTATGGGGTAAGAATGCCGGTTGCGGATTGTTTGATGAGAAGTGCGTTATTAACGGTGTGTCGCAGGTGCCGGAGATGTTTTGTGACAGTAAAATGAATTCATACAGTGAGTTCAAGTGCTCATCAAACCGGCTGGGCATCGGAAACTGCACGATAGCATATCATTCTACCTTGCCTCAATATTTCCAGTACTTCCCCGATCCGACAATGTGTGGGAAAGATGATTGGATGGATTACTGTCCGTTCATAAACGAATATTCTGACTCTTTGTGTTTAAATGGGGATGAAGAAATATTATCCGGTTCTGTGTTTTCAGAGTCTTCGCGATGTTTTTCAGCTATCCCGAGCACTATCCTCCAGATAAGCGATGGAAAAAATATGCTTGCTATTTGTGCAGATGTGCAGTGCGACACGGACACCTCGAGGTACCGGGTGCGGGTGAAGGGTACCAGTGAATTCGTTGACTGCCCACCCGGAAGTACCCTAGTACTTTCGAGTTACAGTACGGTATTTAGGTCTGGTGCGATCAAGTGTGCACCATACGAGGAGGTGTGCCCTAAATCCCTTTACCCCGACGATGATTATGAAATAATAATAACAAAAACATCAGAGCCTCATCCGGTAAAACTAAAGGCAACTACCAGTTTCCTTTCACGCTTTTGGTGGTCCTGACTGCTGTAATTTTCGTTCTGATTTATAAGTTGCGGCAACGTGCGAGCTGAGGGTGAGCTGCAGGAAACACGCACACGGCAGGGATGTAGAACGGTAAAACTGAGGGCGAAGCGCTATACGCTGCTTCTGATCGTTTTTTCAATGAAAACATTTTCATTTTTTTTAATTTCATAATGTAGAAAAATTTCTATTTTCGTTTAAATATTCATATTGTCTTTTCTCTTTTTCAGACGTACGGGATGAATTTTTTCCATCA